TTGGTAAATAATTAATGTTACAGATCTTAGGTTATGTGAATGGTAGATCTATTGATATTTATGAGTGAGTCGAAAACCTCATCCTAAAAAACTACACTGGCATTTTTTTCTGATTTTTTGGAACTTATGAGGTTGCAAGAGAAGCCGTAACAAGTAGAAAAACTTTACTGATGACTTGAAGAAAAGCACAAGGTTGGGGGATCCAGCCGAAAGCAGCCAACAGGCCGTGAGTAAAATCAGCTGACTGAGTTTATCAATGAAATCGCTGATGTGCTGCAGAGAAACAATTAATCACAACAGAAAGCAAAGCTGTTGATTTTGGAAAAAGATTGTGGCAAAGAAGGATGTATGTTGATAAACTTTTTTTTGAAAGTGAAGGGATCTGTGTGATCATTAATGATATCTGACCTTGAAACTCCACCTGCGTCTGAGAACATTTTAAACATGGACACAGCCATAAAGACGCCGGGTTCGCTTCAAGGAAAATCTGGCTTGAGAAACCTGTTCAAAGGCTTTTACTTACCTTTTATTTAGGTAGCACAGACATATCATGAATTTCTTTGGCAGAATTCAAATGAGCAATTTTAATCTAGATTAATCTAGATTAATTGAAAGATTACAATGAGTTTAATCTGGATTTAAAAATATTATCTATGCCTACCAGTAATAAATACTGTAATTATTAATTGAAAATTACTTTTACCTTTCAAACTACTTTTAGGAAATATCAAAACAGGGTAATGTGTGTCATGAGCCGTTAAAATGTTAGCGGTCTGACAGCAGAGTGATGGGTGAAAGGAGGCAGAGAAAATGATGATAGAAGTTATGCAGAATCAACTTCGTTCGGATTTCCGATTCCTTTTCTCTAGAAACCCGTCACCCTCTTTATCTGTGACTACACACATCAAACATATTTTTGATTCAGCTCATTTTCCTACTTCTTCATTGTCTTTGTCGTCTCTAATCTTGATTTTAAGTGATTTTTTTATACTTTTTAATAATTTTGTATTTAATTCTCAGATTGTTTTTTAGCAGGGTTTGTGATCCAGTTAGAGTAAACTCTTCCTGCTTTGTTGGCGATGGCCTTATCACTGCAGAGTTTTGAACATGTACACAATTTTTCATACTACTGTGACTTTCCTCTCAATTTTTTTGTATCAGGGGTCCAAAAATTGGGGACTGAGAGAAACAGCAATGATCATCTAATCCTTGCGCTGAAAAGTGGATTGTCGCGAGATCTGAGTTTTATGTCTCCCAACAAATCCATCTTGAAAGACTCCTGCCAATAGTTCCATTTTAATTCTGTTGATAAACTTCTATCTTATCAAGGACATTGCCTGTGGTCAGCATCTATGGACAAATTGAATGCACTCATCTTACATACACAACTAATGTTTCAATATGTCAGATTGACTTCATGTGATTAAGCCTCAGATGTGACCCCTCTGCTTAAATGTCTGTCTTGTGTTTACTTGTGCTTTCTAGTGCGAGTTTTTTTTATATCTTCAACTGTATCCTGTCAAGGATAAAGGGTGAAATATGTACTTTTTTTGCCCTCTCGTCCCCAATGTGGCTCGTATCTTTCCACAGAGACAATGGCAGCGCTTGGTAACTGCCTGGACCTGGGCAGCCAGATAACTGGTGGGAACCCGGGAGCTTGGCCTCAGCCCCCCAGACCCTCCACCCTAATGTTTGTGATGTATTGTGACAAATGGTTGTACTGAAACTGTAATTTCCCTCTGGGATTATTAAAGTATGTCTGATTCTGATTCTGATTTATAACAACCAGCGAGTCGGACCAATGACATACCAGCAGTGTTATTTGGGGCGGGGCATGTAGGAATGAAAGTTCTACCTGTGCTTCCTGGTGCACATCTGAAATGTCACCAATTCGCTGCTACGATTGGCTGGGAGCATATTATGAAAGGTGGGTACCAGCTGGCAGGTCACCCAATCAGCTCAAAGTATTGTACTAAACATCCCTCCTTTTCACAGACGGATTGAACGACAGCCACCTCACTGATAATGAGAACTCAACTCAGTTCTACACGTCAATCTGGCTACTGCCAGGTCATGATCACCTTACCTGTTTAAAGATTTCATGAAAGCTAGGTCGCTGGGTCGGATCTTCGCTCCAACATTCATTCATCAGATTAATACACTCGACAGGGGCTTCATCCTCTGAAACAACAGGCCTGCAAAGAGGAGGGGGCTTCTTCAAACGCTCTAATATCTCTGAGAGTTAGACAGGCATGGAGAAAGGTTTCAGTGATGGCATGCCCAAAGACAGGGGTTCAGTTGGTAAACAGGTGAATAGATGGGATAAACATCCTTACCGTGAGCGGGCATATCCATCATTGCATATGGCAATGTTCGTGAAATCACTTCCTGAACGATGATGGAGAAACTGAAGACATCTCCAGCAAAAGAACCTGCTTGAACTGGATTCCTCAGAAGTTCAGGAGCCGTCCAAAGAAGATCTGAGGAAAATGTAAGACGGCTTAGGCAACTTTAGCTGTAATGTAAACATTTGAATCTCATTAGTAAATTTATGTACTCTTCTACAAAGAGCAATATTACTTAAAATGGAACCAGCTTCTCAAAACACTTCTCAGAAAAAAACTTGCCGCAGAGCGGATGAAGAAGGAATCTATTCCCGGTAAAAAAAAAAAAAAATGCTTGTTTTTGTCTGCTGAAGATGCTAAATATTAATCCGTTTTTTGTGGATTGATTTACATTCAGTTAAGACAAACCCCTAAATTTTAATGTTCTTACAAGATCATCATCAGTTTAGAATCAGATAACTATGGATGTGACAGAAAAAGTACAAGTCCCTTGCTCAGTTTTTACAATTTTGGTAGTTCGTGAAACATGTTTAGGCTAAAATAACAAATACATCTTTATTTAAAAAAAAAATGTCACTACACATGTCCATTGTTAAGGTTAGCTCAACCTCTAGCTGAAAACTGCAGTGGCCTATTAACTTCTGTTTTCCAACTTTTTTATTTTTGCTCGATCCCCTGTATTCCTTTAAAACCAAATATGAGAAGGTAATAAAACTAACCACTTTACCTTGTTGGAGCTATAAGTGTAAATTCAGAAATATTCTGGATATGGGGAAAGAACTTAAAGTATATCATCCCACTGACCTGGACAGAGGTTCTACATCAAACTGAATTAATTTAAGATAAACATTCTTATGATCTATATTGTGGTACATTTGTAGCCAACATAAAATTGCTATTATTTAAACAATAAATGCAAATTTATATAGAGTATTACACATTCACTGTTGTTACTCTATACAGCAATCTTTAGGATGTTATATGCTGTCTGCGTGTAAGGTTTCTAAACCTTAGACATGAATCACATAGGAGAACTGTATACCTAAACTTAGATAAACTTAAACTTACATAGACTAAAACTAATGCCAAATGGAGAAAATACACTAAAACAATTAAATATAAATAATTATATTTTTTGGTAAAAATAAGTAGATCACTAATGACGGTAATGAATATTTCAAGTAGCTGGTGCAATTTTTAGGAAAAAGATAAATAGGGTTATTCTGTTTTACCTTGTGGATCATCATGAAGAGTGACACTTTGTGACTGAAGAATCATGGGCAGACCATAGTCAGTGATTTTCAAAACAAATCGTCCATCGACTAAGCAATTTGTGGATTTCAGGCGACCGTGAGTCAATCCTCGCAGATGAAGATACTTCATACCCTATAACACAGGGTTGTTAAAAAAAGATGTCATGCATATCATCTGACACTAGACTTACAGCTTGATAGTGGGATGGTGTTAGAGTAAGTGTGCTTTAAAGGTTGTTGGAAAGATGGGAGTGGGCATTATCAAAGTGCATTAATGGGAAAAAAGTATAGCATGATTATGGCATTCCATTTATTCCTTTCCTGCCCTGCTAATATCTCACAACCTGCTGTGAGATTGGTTGTTTCTGGGGGCTCTTTGCATTGTCTGCACCTAGGTCATGCATGGCATGGTAGACCTGGGCCTCTATTACTCTGGTGCTCCAGGCCTGCTCCTGTGCTACCATGATCAGTGTTTCTGTGCTGTCCTTAAGTTAGGCCCTCTCTAGCCATTGATAGGATTTGGTCATATTGTCAACTTCAGCTATCTGTCCTTAGTACATCCCATGATTGTTTCAGAAGCCTTTACTTGTGCCAACTTATTAGCCCCAGCAAGGTATCTGATTAATGTCTAGTAGAAATTATTAAGTGCCCCCACCCTGTTCTCACCATTAAGCTGACTTCTCAGAACTTGCCTTACTTATCCTATTGCAGGTATATTGCTATTGTAGCACTATGGTGCCATTTGCCTGAATTTCATGGTGCATGTAGCTCTCTTTAACATCTGCTTTCTTCCCTTCTGGGAGTGCAATCCCAGAAGTGAGAATAGCGGACGTCCCCTCTCCTGGTCATCATCCGGCGATATTTCTCAAGCCTGATGAAATTCCCATGTTCCTGTGGTAGATTGTTGGTGGTGTGAATCAGAGTCAAAGTCTTGCTGTCTCTTGGCATATATCTTAATGTCATACATGTACTGTGGCTGATAGTGGCCCTATATGTGAGTCTGTATTCATAGCTAGTCTTATCAATTATCTAGCTAAGGGGCTTAAGACCCTGGCAGCACAACTGAGAAGGTAGAGTATCTCCTTGATATATACTGCATTTGATGGATATTTGAGCAATTGGCTTGACTTTTGCATTGAGGGTGGTTTTCCACAGCC